ATACATCTATTTCTAAAATGGGCTAAGCCTTCCTAAAAGGCTGAACTAGACTTTGTTCCAGCTTGTCAAACTTCTTTGAGTTTGTACTTTGCAGAAGAGAGGACACAACTGAGACATAACACAGAATTTTGGAGAGGTTCTCTTTAATTTGAATTTAAACTGATGCAGTTCACAAGTTAGACCAACTTTGTGATCTTATTAAAACCAGCAGTCCTTAAGAGGATCCCTGTTCCTCCTCCACTCCTTATACTTGTGCAGAATGGGATTTGCCTTGCTGCTTTTGCTCAGGCTTTTCTTTCCACGGGTTTTGGGCTTGCCCTCTTCTGCAGCTGGCAGAGGGGAAGGGACCAGATTTGTTTTTATAGCTGCTCTGTGTGTGACTCAAAAGACTTGACGATGTTGATGATCACAACACAAGGGCTGGGGACAGTCCTGAGTCATCTACCAGGATGACAGTGCCATTCTGGAGGACAGAAGTGGTACTTCTGATAGCCACACAGGGGCTTTTTTTTGGTGTTTTCCTCCCATTCTTTGAAACTTTTGGCTAATTTTTAGAACAACCAAAAAAAAAAAAAAAAAAGCAAAGCAATTTTAACCATTTGTAGCCTGCTCTCAGAGCTGTGGTTACTCCAGTGTGAGCTGACCTTTGTGTGTGGGATGAGCCCTTGTGTGGTGTGATCCAGCCTGGAGAAGCAGCGTTTAGGAGGAAGCAGAAGTAGCCAGATGTGTGCACTTCTTGCACCACACCTGAGTACAAGACAGGCTGTGTAACGCTTGGCAGTGTTGACATTTGCTATAATCACGTGATCTTTTACTGAAGGAACATCCATGGAAAGTTTTATGCAGCTCTGAGGATCTGCAGCCTGCTCTAAGGTCTGGGGTGTTGGATGCTGTGTTTGTCTTGGTGGAGAACTTCCTCCTCTGTGGTTTCCCCTGCTACTTCCAAAACTTGTGTCCCTGACTCCGAAAAACCCTTCCAAGGGACTTGGGTTTTATAGTGCACCTTTTAAAAATAAATTGATCAACATGGCATTTCCAGGAATCATGACTCAAGAAGTTAATAATTTTTCCCTTTTTTGTCCAGAAATAATTGAAGGCTAAGTTTTTTCTTTAAGCTAAAATATTATTCTCGGGTACCCCTGAATGAATGTAAAAGGAATCCATTTACTAAAGTTTTCATGCTTTCAGAGATGTCCTTTAAGGACAGAACTGGCTAAATACCAATCAAGCTCCTAGGTAATTTCAAATACTAATTATTTATTTCATAGTGAAATACTTATCTCCATTAAACACAGGAGCTCTCTGTTGGAGTGCACAGGCAGATGGTCAGGCCCTGGCCTGGAGTTTGGGTCGCTGAGGGGACCAGGAGCAAGGAGCAGACGTGAGATTCCTATCCATTTGTGGGTGTGGCAGTTCTCTCTTCTGAGTGTGGGATGTACATGAGGATGGGCAGTGTTTCAGGGGCTGTGGATGGGGAGTACACGTGGCTCAGGAGCGGGATGTGACGTGTCTGCCATGGCATTTTAAACTGGTTGTGCTCATACCAAGGTATAGCTGGAATAATAGAAAGGGAAATATGATGTCTGAGAGTGGTTAGTTCCGTGTTGTGCAATTCAGGCCTAAAAGCAGATTGCATTAAATATCCTGTGGATGGTGTTGGTTTTGTGTTTGCCCTCAAGTGAATTAACCTAGACAGCTGTACTAAAATCACAGTCTTGATTCTGCCACACTGAAGGGCCTTCACACGGTTTCTGGAAATGTAATTTCTTTTCAGTTGAATGCTATAAAACTGGATCTCTTGAAGGGGCTGTAGTGCTCTTCAGATTGGCTGTTCCTGTAATATCTGGTCTCTGCTTCCTGCTGCAGTTCAGCCCCTGATATCTGTAATTAGGGAATCAGTAAATTCTTTGTTGTAGATATTTTTGCTGCTATAGCAGTGGCAGATAATCTGCCTTACAGGGCCAAATCTAGTGTGAAAAGCCATCTTGGTTCTTGATGACTTGTGATTTTCTCTTTTCCTCCCATTTTTCAGCAGGTTATTTTTCTGTTGCTGTTCCAGTTCCTATGTGCAAAGTCCAGGCACTTCCTCAACCAGAATAGCACCCAGAGCTCTCCTGAGGCTGCAGGGGTGGCTGGCGGTGAGCAGTGGTGGCCGTGGGGCTCTCCTGGTGGCAGGGCTGGCTGCTGTGGATTATGGGCTGCTTGGAAATTGCAGGAGCCTCACTGGACCTGGGGCCATGTGATGTGACTCGGGGCTGTAATACCACATCCAGAGCCTTGGGTGCTTGCATGTGCAGCCTGGGCCTTGGCTACTTGCTCTATGCAGGATAGAAGATGAGAGACCACAAGAAATTCGTGTTCTGATAAGTCTTATTACTGAGCCCTTCACCTTCAGGACCAGAAGCCTTTCCCTGGGCCAGGGGTAACCACCCCTGCCATGGTGCAGGGGCTGCAGCTTTTCATCCACCTGAAAACAGGTTCCTCTAAGGGCTGGGGCTCTCTGCTGCTTTCTACTTCTCTGATTATTTAGCTAGAAGGGAAGCTGTGGTTGGAGATACTTTGTTGTTTTGGGGGATTGGGCTATTTCTCTGCAAAAATAGAGGAAATGGATCTGCTCACTCAGGGGAGTGGGAAATGAAGCAATTCCCACTTCCTCATATTTGCATTTGATGCTGGCCCAACAGCAGCTGGCTACAAACCCCATCAGGCTCAGGCCAGGACCAGAGCCAGGTTCAGCCACCACCCCCCTTAGCCCCTTCTCTCCACCTCTCCTGGCCACAGCAGCACAGGTGCTCTGCTCTTGCTGGTTAGAGAAATACTTGTTCTCAGTAGGAAACGGAGTGCCTGGGACGTGCCAGCTCCCGCACACCCTGGGCAGAGCCAGGGCCAAGCAGCCTGTGCCCTGTTCTCATGGTGGAGGCATCGTAGGATATTTAATTATGCATCCTGGTGTATGGTGCAATGCCCAGCCCTGGGTGCTGTTGGTTTGGGGTGGATAAGGAATGCCCTGGATCAGCCTAGGGCTGGCCTGTGAAGCTGTGCTGCAGGAAGCCAGGCTCAGAACAGCCTGTCCCCACAGCATCCCATGGGAGGAGCAAAGCTGGGAGTTTGATGCTTATGCTTTGTACTGGAGTATGTTGTCATGCTTTGGGTCCCTGTGGATGCTTGGGTCATGACAGTATTTGGCAGTACACATAAGTTGGCAAAGTGGGTTTTGGCCTAAATCTTCAGGCAATGTCCTGTTGCTTGTGATGCACTCCAGAGGGTCCCTAAGCACATGTCCCCAGCCATGCAGTGCTCCTGGAGCCCCCACGGCTCACAGCTCCAAGCTCAAGCTTGCTGCTACCCCAGCACCAGGGACCTCTTGGCAGGCACCAATTTCCACTGCCACATTAAACTTCACGTTTAGGTTTGGAAAAAGCACCTCCCTGGTGCTGCTGATCTTAGCACGGCAGCAGCTCCTGTGGGGCCAGAGGAGATGCTATTCTAGGAATCCCACAGAAGCCCTCATTCCATACCTGCAGGTCAGCAGCTGGCCTGGGCAGTGGCTGAGGGGGAGCAGAAGTATCTGTACATCCATCGGGAATACCCCTGAGGGAAGTTTGTTGCTGGGTATAGTGAGTAGCAGATATTAACAGGGAAACGAGGAGTGTGTAAAATTGGACCAAAATGGTTTTAGTGTTTTATTTGAGAACTTCAAATTGTAGCATAAGAGTGGAAAACACCTTGTTGTAAACAAAAATAAAAAAATTATAAAAATGTCCCAGGCAGCTTCCCAGATTGTGACTTTGACTCTGAACAAGATTATACTGAAAAGCTGGGACTCCCTGCAGAGGAAGGTGATGGCTCTCTGCTTGACCCCAGTTGCCATTGTGCCTGGCCCCTGGCTGAGCTCGTGCCCTGGCGCTGCCCAAACACTTCCAGTTGTCAGAGGAAATTCTAGATCAATTTGGGAAGCAGGTGTTGATGCTAAAACTGCCTTTTGATCCAAAATGCCACCTGGGCTGACCTCCATCCAGCACCAGTTGTGGCACTGGGCTGCTGCCTCCTCCCCAGTGGCAACACCCAGGGTCAAATTCCTACAGGCACCTGTCACTTGCAGGGCCACTGACAACGACCTGAGCTGCACAATTAGCTTTCTTTATGCATTTCCTCTCTGTCTGGGCCTGGGAGCTGGGAACGTAGTTTTTCCAGGGGGTATGGAAACACCAGCCATCTCCAGCACTGGCTGCGGGGATGTCCCAGGTGCCACCCCTGCAGAGACTGTCCCACCCTGCCCTGGGTAGGTGGGAGCAGAGTAATGAAGAGGCAAATGATGGTCAACCTGGGAGCTCGCTGGGTCAGGGAGGGTGGTGCCACTGGGAAGTGTGTGCAGGGGCAGGTGAAGGCCATTGCAGCAGGAATGGAGAGGGCCTGGAAAGGCCATCCTGGGAGACAAAGGAGTGTGGCTGGGGCTGGGGCCAGGCTTTCTGGTGGTGATGGAAGTGAGCAGGAAAGGACATTCCAGCAGGGGACAGGGAAACGCTGTCCTGGAGGGAGAGGGGACTGGTGGAGGCTGTCCCGGGAGCTGAAGAGAACTGAGCAAGGCCATCCCGGGGGGATGGAGAAACTGGGCTTGCCGTTCTGGTGAGGACTGAGGGGACTGGTAGAAGCCATCCCGGGGGGCTGGGGATGGCTGGCAGTGGCCATCCCGTGGGACACAGATGGATCGGTGCGGGTTGTCCCAGGGGGCACAGAGACCCCCGACCGCCCTGAGGGGCCTGTGCACACGGCCCCAAACCCTCCACCGCCCCCTGCCGGTGGCCCCACCCCCTCTGCCACCCGGCCCCGCCCATGCCGTAAGTGGGCGGGGCACACGCGAGCCCGGCGCCCGGCCCCGCCCCCTCGAAGCCGATTGGTCGGGCGGCGCGCGGCGGGCGGGGGCGTGTCGCCGCGGGCACGGCGGTGGCGGGGAGGCGCGGCCGCCATCTTGTGCGCCGGCGGAGCCTGCGAGCGGCCCCAGCGCGGCCGCCGGACCCGCCGCTCCCGCCGCTCGCGCCGCACCCAGGGCCGCCCGCTCCCCGCCCCGGGGCGGCGGCGGACGGCGGAGGGAGGGGAACAGCCCGGTGCGGACGGGCCCCCCGCAGCCCCCCCCGCGGGCCCGGCGGCGGCCCCTCCTCCCCGCCGCTCCTCGCGTCCCTCTCCGCGGGTTTGTGGCGCTGTGCCGGGGGAGGATGAACGGAGGATAAATGGTGCCCAAGGCGGACAGCGGCACCTTCCTCCTCCTCTTCCTCCTGGTGCTGAGCATCACCGAGCCGCTGCGGCCAGGTAAGGGCGGCGGGGCCGCGGCGGGGCCGGGGGTGCCGGGCCGCCCTCCTCCTCCTGCTCAGCCCGCGGGCGGGTCCCGGGCTCGGGGGCGCCGGGGCTGCTCCGCGGCGGGGGAGCGGGCGGCGGGGGGAGCCCCCGGGGACAGCCCGGATCGGGAGCGGCGTGTCCTAGAGCTGGTCCCGGCCCGGTTTGGGCTCTACAGCCGCTTTGGCGCTTAAACAGAGCCGGGACCCGGCCGAGCATCGGTGCCCTGTGCCGGCTGCCTGGATCAGAGAGAGCCGGGATTTACCCTGTGAGTCAGGGAAAAACGCTCCTGTTAAAGTGTGAAAGCTTGGGTAGAAATCTACATAACCCTACGGGCAAAGAGCGCTGGAAATGTGATGCCGTGACTAAGTTTTCAGGTGCTTCTTACTTTACCTGCTTTTATGTTGTGGGCCTTGGGTGCCAACGCAGCCAGACGAAATACTCACTTTCAAAGTGCCATTCGAGCCTGCCAGAAGGAGAAAAAAAATCCTGGTTCCTGTGTCGTCTCTCTAGTTCTGTTTGTCCTTCTTTTAGGGAAATAAATCAGCGATGGAGTTTTGTGTGCTAGCTGCTGGGCACGGAGCTTAAAATCTTAAGATGATTAACTTTGGAGAAATGGTTGGTGTTCGCATGTTGAAAACTACAGCTTTTCTTGATATGCCGCTCAGCTGGGGTTTCTTTTTGGTGTTGAACTCTCTTGGAGCTCGGCAGAGCCCTCAAGTATCTCGGGCTGCTCCTGCCAAAGAGCATCAATAGCCAGTGTGAGGCTGCCTGGAGTGGCTTTGCAGGTTTGAGAGCCATCCTCCCATCGCACCGAGCGACTGCTCCTGGGTGGTACTTGCTCCTTGTAAATCGGAGAATGAGAACCATGGTGTTCTTTGAAACCCCCTTGTTCTTTCTCGTCGAAATAACTTTTACGACCCAGACTAATAAAACGTGAGCTGCGTCTAAGCGAGTTCCCAGCAGAGCTGGAACACAGTTGGGTCAGTGTAAGCAGAGTTATTGAAATAACTTAGGTGTTGAAACTGCTCTGTGTTTGCCTTGTTTTGTTTTAGCTTGTTTTTTTGGCAGTGCAGTGTATACACAGGGCTTATGATATGCACTTAAGTAGCCAAAAAAGCAAAGTACACGGTGTTGCTAGCCTAGCATTATTACAGCTAGAGGCTTTTATGGCTGAGAAGGTACTATGTAAAACTGATTTCAGGCACCTCCTCTGTAGCTGTCACTAAGTGCTACAGGCAGCTGGATTGCTGGCTGGAAAGGTTCAGATTCATAGCTGCGTGTGTGCTTTTACAGGTGGGTAGAATTGACCCTGAACTCAGTTGGTGTTGAGCATTGTAGCCTCCTAGGAATTAGCAAATGGCATTTTTCATATTGTGTCAGCACATTTGTCGTTCCAGTTTGATATTGAACCTCTGTCAGCAGCTGATGCTTGATGGATGAAGACAAGTTTTTCACTGAGGTTTGCTTCTTTAAGACAAATGATTTTTTCCCACTGGCTCTCTAATGTACCTACTTTAGAGATTTGTGCTGCTGTAGCCTCACTGGCAGAAGTGTTCTTCTTGTGAGCAAACCTTATCTGCTCAGGTTCTAACCACTGCCTTTGAAACCTGCAGCATTAGGATTCCCCTGTGGCGACTCCATGTGAATTCCATGAATTTTGCCCAAACCATATGTACTCCTGAACCTAATGTGAAGAAACACAGCTGGATATAGTGCTGCAGCTGGAATTCCTTGCTGTATGAGTTGTTTCTGAGTTCCATTTGGAATACACTCATCCATCCTGTTTACTTGGTGGCTCCAGATGAGTGTGATGGCTGAGCTGTCCATGGTGATGCCTCTCCTTCCTCTTCAGGAGAGTCCATCACTTCTGAGTGGGCTCACAGCTTTTTGCCAATGTTAATTCCTTTTTTTGATTTGCTTCATTTAATATCTTGAACATGCTGTCTCAAATAGATCACCTGTTCAGTAGATTAAATGGTATATGGTTTGATACTGAAACACGAGGTGCAAATAGGGAAAACCTGGTTCTTGCAAGTTCAGAGGATGTACAGAACCAAATTTACCATTTTAATCAATGATGAAGAAGTCTCTGTAGTCTTTTTTTTTGGGGGAGAGACAGGAAGAGAAGAGTATTCTCCTTCTCAGAAAGAGTATTTGAACTTAGGATTTATTTCCCTAGTGGTATTTGCTTTACCTTTTGCTTCTTTAAACCTGTGTGTTGTAGCAACTGTCTTTCTGGTTTAGAAAGGACACCTGCAGCTTGCTTAGCTTAAATCTGTACTTGGAGCTATGAGATGAGTGCTGCAGAGTGATGGGAGGCTTTATGTACTCTGAGATGAATGTGTAGTCCCTTCACAATTCAGTCCCGGCGGATCAGGCATCTCTTTGTATTTCCATGTTAATTTGACACTGGCTTTGTGTGCGTGTTCTTGCTGTGCTCTTCAGATAAATAAAACCTTCTTTTAAGCCTCCTCAACTGTAGTATCTTTTCATGCAATCTGAAAGGCAGTGATTTTACGTGGACCTATTTTTTCTGCATTTAGGATGAGATGGGTTTTAGTAAATTAAGAGAGAAATTAATTAAAATGTCTTCTTTTTACCCTGATTTTTCCGCCTTGATTACATGAGTGTTTTACACTACTGTCATCACTAACAGGGTGAGTTACTTTCAACATACCACGATATTGGCCCCAGCTGTGGAGACTTGGGTTCCTGAAGGTGCTGTGGGCAGTTAGAATTTTCTGAGCCTGTGGATTTTTAATTATAATTTTGTGCCTTTGAGAATCTCTGCTTTGACTTTTTCATTGTCCCAGTCTTTTTCTTTCTGTTTTGACCATAACCTACTTGTTTTGACTAGTTGCCTGCTTTATAATGCATTTTTGAAAAAATTCTTTTTAAAAAAAAAAATAGGGCATTTCTCTTTGAGTTGTGTTACTCATTATGTGTTTGGAATCTGCTAATGTGAATTGGAGCTGAATGTATTGGACTCTTCCAAGTCTATGGGTGTAGAGTGAAGGACTAACTTAATATTTCCTCCAAACACTACTGAATTTACTCTGTCTGGCATTCAGACACTTGCTTTTTAGGGATATTTACCACAGGGGGTTTGGTTTAATAATATCTTCTCCAGGACAACTCCAAACATCTGCTTCAGGTTATCTGACTGTCTGGCTGAGAGCTGGTGTCTTTAAGTAAAGAAATACTTCAGTGGTCTGTTAGCTGAGTCACAGTAAGCTGTTCTGGTGGATTTGGACCGAGTTTCTGAACCAGTGCATTTCTGTTGGTTATCAAAGGAGCATCAGAGATGTAAATTGTTATGAATGCAGTTTTTCACAGTGGGGGAATATTTAAGAAGTTCCTCTTTCTCTTACCATGCCATTACACCACTGAGAAGCTGGGGTTTTGCTGTCTTTGTGTAGCGTTGGGAACTTAAGCAGTCTGGAACGATCAGCACAACGTGTTTCAGAAGTGTTTAGAGGATTAATTAAGATCATCATCGCTAAAGACAATAACATGTTTTCATATTTCTCTAACAAGATACTGCTGTGTGCTAATGGAAAACACTTAAACATGGTCAGGCTTTATATTGGATTTTGTAATAGTGGTTTAGTACAGAGCCTTGTGAATGTAGGTCATCGGGCTTTCTTATTAGAGCGTTTGCCAGGCAGCTAAAAGCCAATTGAGTTCTAGTTCTTGCAGCGTTTTTTCTCCACTTCAAAGCCAACTAAAGGAAGTAATTTTATTACCCGAGGTCTGTTTTAAAAAATATTGCACAGCATACCTAATCTGCAATGCTTAGAAAGACTTGCCAGTGCAAGGGGTCTGGTTAAAATCCTACACTCCAGCTCACAGTTGGAACTTCCCCTTTGCTTTGGAGCTCGCTCACAGCTGTGGTTATGCCCTCACAGGTGGGGTGTTGGTGTTCTGACACGGTACAACTGACAAGTGTGTTTAATTTGCTCTTTCTTGTCTTTTGGTCAAAAGTTGTAGGTCTTAAGTGCAAGAGAGAGCTCACTGGAGTAGAGGCCTAAACAAACCCACAATCAGCATAGTTTCAATGTGCTCCACTTGTGTGCTGTGACTGGATGTGTCTGGTTTTGTCCAGTTGAAGTGTATTGGTTAATTCAATTGGAGACCCAAATATATTGTTGATAAAATGTACTCTGGCCCAGCGTTCCTCTGCTCTAAAAGGAGTTTGTTGGTAGGCAAATAAAAGCCCTTATTTTGGTCTTTGTTTTCCGTCTCTACCTTAGTGAGAGCTGTGGTGAATTTGTTGGGGTTCATGTTGTCACTAACTGCAGTCTCTGTCTGTGTATTTAGCTGAATTCCCGAGTGAAAGGTTCTAGGTGTGAGGGGCAGAAGGGTTTTTATCACACCTTCTCAGTTAGTTTTGCTGAAAGTGGGGCTTGGCCTGTCTTCCAGTCTGGTGTTTTCCCCCCTATCCTCTTACTTCTCTGTCTACTGGTTTTAAGTTTTCTTTTTCTTCCTGCTGTTACCTCTTGGTGAGCTCGTGTCTTGATGTTCCTTGCTCTGCTGTTTGCTGTTATTGCAGCTGCAGAGCGAGGCTGATGGACGTGAAAAGAGTTTCTTATGTCTGCCCTCAGTGTAGCAGGGAGACAAAGCAGAAGGTACCAGACCTTATTAGCAGGTCTGAACCTTTAAGACTAGTAATTCCTGATGTTAATTATAAAGCAAAATTTTTGAGGTGCAAGTGGATTTGCTACTAGCCATGGCTGCAAAGTAAAGGAGAAGAAAGGAGTCAGTAGGCATAGGGCTGTTTGCATGCACTGCTCTGAGAAGGAATAAACCAGAAGGACTCCATGGGGATTTGCAGAGATGTGACTTTTATATCCCTACGGTAGGTTTAGGGGCAGAGGAAGGTTGGTCCAGAACAGCAGAAGTGATGGAAAAGAGAGCACTGTATCAGGAGGAGGCAGCTGTGCTGCTTTCTCGGTAGTTGAGGGGAAAGACCC